TGATAACTTAATAAAAGTTATATTAATAAGTTTAAAAATTATAACTCAATTTTTTTTTTGTTAAAGCTGTAAAAAAAGTAATATTATTGCAAATAAAAAAAAATTTATTTGATTAAAAAATTTTTTTTCTTTAATAAAAGTTGTAAAGCTAAATTTTCTGAATCTAATAATAGTAAAATCATTAAAATTGATTAAGTAAATAAAATTAAATTTTATTGAAATTTTTATATGTTTTACTATATAGTATATATAAAAACTAACTATTTTTAAACTTGTATTACCATAAAACATGTTTATTTAAACTATTTTAAAAATTTATTATTTAAATAAAGAATATTTCTAACTATAACCAGTGGTGATCATCACCAGAGTGCCTATATCTCAAAAATATACTAAGTAAACAGGATCGGATCCTCTAAGTAAAAATGTTCAGAACCCCCAAAAACCTCATAAAAACTAAGATTGGGCCCTAATGGGCTCTTACAGTAGATTTATATTATTTTATATAAAAAAAAAATAATTCTCTAATTTCTAACCTTAACCTAAAAATAATTAGGGGTGGTGATAATCACCACTAGTGATTTTAAATATATTTCTTAAATAAAATAATTATTTTAAAATCAATTATAAATCTAAAACAATTTAAAATTTTTGTATTTTTATAATTTTATTATAAATTTTTGTATAATATAATTTTTTTAATATTATACTAGATTAAGTATATCAAAATTTTAATAAAATACAAAGTATTCAAAGCTAAATTATATAAAATTTTATTAATAAATATTATAATTATATTTTGACAAAGTTTGAATAAAATTAATTAAATAATTAGCATAATATAATTTTTTTGTATATACTAAATTTAGTATCTTTGATCTACAGATACCCATTAATTTAATTAAAAAATTAATTAAAATTTTGGCTTTTATTTAATTTTTGTTATAGTAATTAAAAAATTACACTAATCAGTATTTATTAAATATTATTTACTGTAGAAGTTTTAAAAATATAGCTTTTTTTTTTAAATAGTTACAAGGAAATACTTATAACTACATCTATACTAATCTTTACCAAAATTTTTTATACAAAGACATTTGTTAGTTATCTTATATAATAACACTTTTGGCTTGCATGTCAAATATATAAGAAGTTCTATGGATTGACTTTTATAAAAACTACTTAAACTAGTATATACTCCTGCTTTCTCTAACAAAATTTTTCATTTTTCTTTGGTTAATAATTATTATACAAGTAATTGTTAGAAAGAGTTATGAAATAATGCTATTTGTTTTTTTTTTTACTTTATTTTTTTTATTTTTGATATATATTTTTGTATTGCTAATACAGAAACATTAATTTTTTTTGCTTTTGGTAAAGAAAGAATAGCTCTAGACAGCTAACAAAGTCTCTTAACTTACACATAAAGGCATGTTTTATTATAACTAGATAATGTTGGGCTTGCAATTTCATTAACTATTATGTTATATAATGTTCCATTATTGATTTAATAAAGCTTGTATTTGAGCTCTGGCAAAACTGTTAAAAAGCCAAAAAAAAAAAAAAAATTTAAACAAATTAGATTAAAATCTGCCAAAATCCAGTTATATTTTATATTAGAGATATTTGGAGTTCTGTTTAAAGTGATTCTACTTCAAGTTCAAAGTAGATCTACTTCAGAACCCTACTTTAGGTTTAAAATAAACTAACTTTGGCTTTAAAATAAACCAACTTTAAATTTAACTTTAGTTTTAAAATAAACTAACTTTAAAAATAAATTTTAAAATAATTTTTGCTTTAGATTTAATTTTTTCTGTGCATCGCACAGATTTACAGCTAGTAACATAATAAAAATTTAATATAAAGATTCAAATTTTGTTACGCATAAGGTTTGAGATATAGCATCCCAGGTAATTAACCAGGAGGGCAAACTAACAATACTCAAAAATATATACTGTACGTATTTATATATTACTAATAATTTCTTATAACCAAAGCAAAAAATGTATTCAGAGAAGCATCGCATTTAGAGAAGTTGCATTTAAAAAAGCATAATGGTAGTAATTTGTAATATTAATAGTTTTCTATATATATATTGTATATATACGTATTATATAAAAATTTTTTTATTGAAAATTAAATTAGAGTTTGGATCAGTATTTTAAACCCGATTCAATAAGAAAAATAAAACCGGCTCCGAACTCTAAATTAGATATTCGTGTATTTTGCAAGAACTTTCTACTAATACTTTTCGAAATTTTCCCGTGTCTTTGTTTCAAAGATCACGTGTAGGTAGGTGCGAATCACTTGAACTGGTAAACACTCAAAACTATCTTAGACGGTTGAATGGCTTGTGTTAGAAAAATTTTAGGAGGTTCTAATCTCTAAAGTAAAAAATAGGCATAATTTAAAATAATTTATTCTAGCCCTCCAAATAATTTTTTTTTAAAAAATTTCATAATTGCTTCTATTTCCAAATTGCACTTAATTTATCTCTTAAAAAAATATTCAGACTATCTACTAGTACAGAAAAAAAAAAGGGGAAACAAATGCTTAAGCCCAAACATATTTCACATTTATTTTCTTCAATGTAATGGTAAACAGGAAAAAGTAATACCCGAAAAACTTATTTTAAAACATTACTGCTTTCACAACTAATACTTACACCACCGGAAAAATGCATAGCAAGAAATCAATATAAACAAAAAGAAAAACATAATAAAAAAAAACAGCATAAAATATCTATGAAACTACAAATAATTACTAGTAAATATGTTGGCGTAGTAAAATAACGAAACTCCTTACTAAATTCAGAGAAACTTGCAATGAAAAATTTATCGGAGACTATATTTCCTGATACCATGTTATATATCCATGTCTGGGCTTTCATCATCATCTGAATATGTATCTACAGAACTTACTTCATCACTAGAAGAACTTTCGTCTGTCGCAGCATCTGCTGCTTCTTTTGTAGCAAATCTGCTAACATATTCTATGTAATTCATGGGTTAGGATAAATTTAACAAGAAATTGAAAAATCAAACGAAATTATGACTAAACTGTAAAGAAGACATAGGATTACCTTTTACTTTGACTTCGTATGTGTGTGGCTCCCTCATTAGCAGGGCGGCAGCTTCACCATTGAGAGGATCTGTAGGATTTGGATATCTCAAAAGTTGAGGAAGGAAAACTTCGAAAATGTTGATCATATCTGAATATTTTCCACAATATTTTAAAAAAAAACAAATTTAATATTAAGGAAATAGAACATAAATGTACATCTCGAAAAAACGCACCGAACATTGGACTCCATGTTTGATTGATTACGTCAAGACAAACAGATCCACTTCTAAGTTCGTATTCATATTAATCGTTTTGGATTATTAGTCAATCAAAGATATACCATGCTAAAATATTATGTTAACCGAGCAGTTTTTATAACGGTTCTAAAGAAAAGTATATTACTCACAGTTCGTCGATATTGGGATGAAAAATTTTATTCATAAACCCAATCGACGGTGATTTGAATGGATATTGATCAGGTAGTTCAACGTGGACTTTCCATACACCACCAGAAAAAGGTGCTAAATATAATAAGACGTATTATCAGTAAGCATTGAAGACAAATTAAAGAATAGTTGTTGAGCAATAGCTTACTATCTTCAGGTCCGTGAAACCGAACGTAAAATTCCTGCATGTTATCATTGACAAGAGTAACCTCATAGTCACTCATGAGGCTTGATGCATAAATTAGTCCATATGAGGATTTCAAATGTGTTGTGAATGATATTAACCAAAGTATGCGTTTACTTTGAACTAAAAAAGTATATCTAGCACGACTTACAGCTTCATTACATCAGTTTCGATCCTTCTACGCGGCGTTGACATTTTGCGACTGTACTTTTGTTGAATGTATTTCTTGTTAGGGAGTAAAATGAGTATCAAATATATTTGTGATGACTCTAGTGCAGAAGAAATTATGTAAAATTGGCGAGATGATATAGGGAAAATGTACAATATTAATCACATGGTCCAAATCATTACACAGGCGTTGCATATTGCATCATACAGGCTAAGGATCACATTATCGTTAAATAGATAATAGTACTTGTAGTCACGTGAAAACATCATACTTTATACTTGTGAAATAAACATTCGTTTCATTTATTCTTTTTTT